CAGAATTTGGATGAATCTAAAATATATTATGCTAAGTGAAAGGAGCTATACTCAAAGTGTCTGATACCATTCATATGACATGCTGAAAAGGCAAAAAAAGAAAAATAGTAGCAATGGTAAACAGATCAGAGAGTTGGTGGGGGACTGGTGGAGGGCAGGATATAATTACCAAAGGACACCAGAGAATTTGGGAGGTTGATACAACTTCTATATATGCATTTTGGTGGTGGCTGAATATTATATATGGGCTTCCTTGGTTGCTCAGTGGCAAAGAATCTGCCATTGCAGGAGATGTGGGTTGATCTCTGGGTCAAGAAAATCCCCTGGAGAAGGAAATGGCAACCCATTCTAGTATTCTTGCTCGGGAAGTCCCCTGAACAGAGAAACCTGGCAAGTGCAGTCCATGGGGTCCCAAAAGAGTCAGATACAACTTAGTGACTGAACAACAAGTATACATTTATGAAAACTTGCAGCACTATATACTACAAAAGGTGAATTTAACTGTATGAAAACTGTACCTTAGTAAAACTGAAAAAAAATAGGAAAAGATAATTGTAAATAAAAGGATATGAAGCTTTTAATATCCTGCTTCTACAACCTTCTTTAAGTACCAATAGAAAAAGTCCCCTGCCATATTGCTTTTTCTCAAGAGTTCAGTGTTATAGTTTTGAAATTCAATTGTATTTCTTCTGTCAATTAAACTTGCCAGATCATTTGTTGAGTCAATTACTGTGTTCATCATTGCTCCATGTAGTATATATATACCCCTAGGCATCACCTTCCTTCTTGATGAAATTATTATATTCAGGCATCTTTGGTGGTAAAGCCTTATAGTTTTGTTTGTAATTTTTTGTCACTCTCTACTGATGCTTTATCTATGCATAAAACTCTCACTGTGGGCAGTTATGTTCCCTCAGCACTTCTGAAGGTATTTCTCTCTTGTCCTATAATTTCAGTGAAAACTCCACTATCTTCTGTCTTTATCAGTGGGATATCTGTCTTGTTTCTTTGAGAGAATTTTTTTTTTCTTTGAGAGAATTTTAAAGATTTTCATTAACACTGATATTCTCCATATTCAGTACTGTCTGGATAACTTTCTTTATTGTCCCTGCTCAATGTTTATGAAGTTGCACACTTTCTCTTCAAATGTCACTTGTGGCACAAAATATAACACCAAACACACGTACGTATGTACAGGACAAAACAGATTGCCAAAGGTCATGGAGGGAAGACTTGGTAATTAGAGACTCCACAGAGCACAGTCATGTTGAATTAAATAGTCCAGGCTAAGAAGATGATAAGTGAGGCCAGGGGGATGGAGGTGGGAAGCAACGTCCCACAGATGCCTAAAAACTGACCTTAAATCTGGGGCAGAGGACTGATTGACCACGAAAAGGTCTTTTCTTCCTGCTCATTTCAGTCGGTAATTTGGAAATGGGCCATCAGTGCCTCCCTTAGGTGACATAGAAACCCAGGGCCTCTAAGCTCATTTAGTGAGAGAAGAGTGCGGGGATACAGGACCAGGAAACAGGCCCAAAGGGATTCATTACCATCCTGTTTCCTGGACCAGCCTTTCCAGGGAAGGCTATTTCAGCTGAGAGGCTAGGCTAAGTCCCTCTAAACACAGGGGTAGAACACAGGGAGTGGGATCGTGGGCTGAGGAAACTGGGCAGCCTCCCCCAGGACAGGCCCTGGCTCCATGATGGCCCCAGGGACAGTGAGGTCAGCCATTGCAGGGTCTCCTTAGAGCAGCCCTTCTAATATCTACTTTCTCCCGATTCCCACTGCTTTCATTTTTTCTCCCAGATCCCAGCAAGAGTAAATAAAATTCAGAGCATCAGTACCCATGAACTCTGTCTGACTAATGCACAATAGATAGATGAAACTTTTACTTGAGGAGCTATGTGACAGAAGCAGTTTCTTTTAATTTTCCACAGGTATAAAAACAGGAAAGCTATACTCTTGTTCCGTAGAAGCTCTCCAAGTCAGAAGGATTCAGTTGGCTCTGTCAGCAAGTATTGCATTTCCAGAGCAGACCTGTAGAGGAACTGAGGAACAGAAGGAGTCCTAACCAACCTTGGTCAGACCCCTCAGACTTGTAACATCGCTTAGCAAAATCAAACCTATTGGATATGGCTGAAAAAGGCCCATCTTCCTTCTCGTTTTCTACTGCATCTTCCTTGACCCTCAAACAATCCCCATGGTTGTCCATGTGGTCAGGCAGCTGGCATTTAACCACCTCAGGTAAGAGTATCGTCTCACTTTCAGGGAAGGGTGCAGTCTTGAGGAATCTTGACTTAAGAAATGGAGTCCAGTGCAGATCCCAAGAACTTCAGCTACTCTGTCTTCCAGGTTCTCTGGTGCTTGGGCTCTGTACCTCATCACAAACTCCTCTATTCTTTGTTTTCTAAATATGAGGAGGAATCAGTGAGGCCTGAGGGAAGATTCTATGCTACATCCCAGACCAGGGTATCTGCTTCCTGGTGGTAGCATCAGGATCTGTCTTCAGACCTCATAGGCTTTGCTGGCATCTGACAAAAATATTTGTAGCTATGTTATAATATATGCCTCTGAAGGATCATTTAAGATCAGATGATAGTTTTGTGACATGCTTTAGTACCTCTTTAATATTAAAATTCTGTGGACCTTGTAGAAGTCAATGGAAACTAGTGAAATGTCAAAATATGTGACATAATAGAGGAAAGTGAGTTTTAGAAATATGCTTCACTGACAGACTTCTTAAGATATGTTCAAAGTTGGATTTATCTGCCCAGTTTCTATGATGCATGAGATTGATTTCTGTCCATCTCGTCCATGGCAGCTTTCTGAACAGGAGCTCTTTTTCCTCCCCCTGTGGCTCCTCAGTGCAGTGTGGATATCCTGGCTCTGCAGTTTTGGGACCTAAGATGGTGAAAGAGAGGGGAGCTAAGGTTAATGAGCTTGATTACAAATACAACACATGCTCTTTTTTCTCCTAAAACTTTCCCTATTTCTCTCCCAAACAATCTAAACTTCCTTATAAATTCCTTACGTTTTTCATATTTCTGAATAATCCCAGGGTCACATTTATGATAATATGTTATAAAAGAAACAGCTATGTTTGCCTTGATTTTAAAGGTTAAGTTCTGAAAGTGACATCACCTCAAGCACACTATTCCATAGTCTCAGACAATCTAAATTCTCTTCCCTCTTTGTTACATGGAGAGTGTAGGGCTGGTCTAGTGAACTAAGGTGCACACTTTAGCTCTTCTAATAAGGCTGTTTCTACAGCTTTGAGGGCTGCAAATCAATGTGGACATACGGTACATGGAAAAAAATAATGAGGTACATTATTGATATCACACTGATGCTCTTGTTTTAGTATTTCATATTCAAAATAGGTACACAGAAAGTGACTGGGTACTTAAATCATCAGTCAAAAATTATACCTAAAGCATAGGTATAAGAATTATTAAGAGCATGGATACCTGAATATTGATATATTATAATGAGAAAGTTGATTTGAATTTCTGGGGAGATACATGTTCAGGTTTGATGTCATGAATAATATTCTTATCTAGTGATCTTTGAATATTTAGCTGTTAATGTGATGCTTGTTCTCCATTCAGATGGTTCTTTTCAAGATACTTAAAAGATTCAGAAACAGAGATCAAGAAATAAAATTAGCTACCAGTGGGAAAGGAATCACCATATTGGACTCATATTGGTCATTCTATGGGGCCTCTGATGTTACAAAATGTTGCAACCATCTTAACAAAAATTCACCTAGAATCTACTTGGTTCCAGGCAACTAAAGAAACAACACAGAATGGAGTACTGGAACTCCACCCTGGGAAGTGGCTTCATATTGATGGGGATTCTGAATGACAGTTTGTCTCCTGAGCTGATCTGTGCTACAATCACAGTCCTATACATGCTGGCCCTCACAAGCAATGGCCTTCTGCTCCTGGCCATCACAATGGATGCCCAGCTCCACGTGCCCATGTACCTCTTGCTCGGGCAGCTCTCTCTCATGGACCTCCTCTTCACGTCTGTTGTCACTCCCAAGGCCTTCATGGATTTTCTGCTCCGTGAAAACACCATCTCCTTTGGGGGCTGTGCCCTTCAGATGTTTNAACTCCAAGAGTTGGTGATGGACAGGGAGGCCTGGTGTGCTGCGATTCATGGGGTCGCAAAGAGTCGGACACGACTGAGCGACTGAACTGAACTGAACTGAGACCTGTTTTGAAACATCAGAACAATTTCGTGGTGAGTATATGTCTTTGTCTGTGTCCACAGGAAAGGAAAGCTATCATATATAATTCACTTTCTGCTAATTTAGATATGCTTTATTTGTATCATTTGATTTACCTGTGTGGAATTATTTATAACAAAAACTGCGAGCTTTCCTGGCTCACCTAATTGAAATTATTTTGGGAGGTAGTGCTTTTTTAAAACTCAGAAATATTTTCTTTTCAGAAGCTGTCTTAAATTACTTATTGTATTAAGATCAATGATAATATGAAAGCTAATAATCTATGGAACTAGTCCACATTCATTATAAAAACAGAAAATTCAGAAATTGAGAAAGAAGCAAAAATCTCCCAAAAGGTTTTCTCTTTAGTTTTTGCTTATCTTTATGCAGTTTACTGAATAGCTATGTATATTTTGGCTAAAGTTTTGCTTTTTTGTTGCTTGAAATTTGGTGAAATTTCTTCCTTTGTAAAGAGGACATTATAGTGCAGGGCTGGGGGGCTTAGGGAGGTAGGTGGCAAGAGTCCTGAGTTTAATCTCTGCTCACCGTGTAGCATCTGTGTATCTTTGAACACAAATTAAACCATTCATTTCTCACTTTGTTCCTCTGAAAAGCAGTGAGAATAATAAGACTCTTGATGATCTCATGTTTTAGAGTGACTTGAACAAGATGATAATACACTTAGACCTGTGCCTCACAAATAGTTCTTAAACTATGCTGTTACATGAATACCTAGTAAATAGTCTTGATAAAACTTCATTTCAAGTGACTACATAATAGCACCATATGGATCCTCTATATAATGTACTTAGGGATTTCCTTACATTTAATTTTGTCCCTTCAAATTTTTTTACATAAGGGTATAGTTTATGTGAGGTCAAATTCTTGAAGTGTAAATAATGGAATATAAGCAAAGAAACTATCTGAAATTCTTAATTTAAAGAGCTAACTGTTTATGAGAAAGTTAGAGACATTTTGCATGCTGGCTAGCATTTTGTGAGAGTCTCTGCCTCATTGTACTCTTTCCCATGCTGTCTTATATAAACTCCCTTTGATAATTTATTAAGCACATAAACAAAAAGTAACAGGTGTTTTCACTTATAATATTTATTTTGTTTTATTCTAATGATTTTTCTGTGGCCCTCTATAGACAAAGGTCCTAGATAATTTGGCAATTATATACATGGCAACATTTATTTTCAGTTTGTTACATATGTAGTAGGATATGTTGGATAGAGAAGTGTTACAACATTTACAAAATGTCATAGATTCATTTTTTCCTTTGTATTTTATACTCAATAGTACCATTACCATTCCCATTTTTAATTCAGATAATATTGCCTCAAATCTTAAGATCTGCTTAACAAACTTTAATCTCTCTGATATTATTTAAATACATTATGGATAGTGAAACTTTAAGTTAGTTGTTTTCTAAATAGCTAATTTTCCTGTTAGCATTCCTAATAATCTTTACTTATTTTGCATTTATTATTATTACTTACAATTGTTTGACTATATATTTTCTCCTTATAAGTATAGTACTGGTCTAGTACTACCCCATTCCTCAGAGAAAATCATCTTAAAAGACTTCACTGTACCTATTTTCTGGTCCTTTTCTACCATTCATGATTCATGTCACTGTAATCAGGCTCCCCTCCACAGCCAACAACACCTCCCCTCCCTACCACATTGTAGTTGTGCATGTCGACAGTGACAGAGGTATATGTCTCATCTGTTCTGACAAAGAAATAATAGTTTATATATATGATAAAATTGTAAAATGTGAATTTTAGAATCATTACCTGTGATTACCAATGAGCCTCAAAGGGCTTAGTGATTAAAATCTATATTCCATAGGAGATGCAATAGATCTTTATAGTCCACATATCTCAGAAAAATTTTAAATAATTGTAAATATTTCCAGAATTGCTAACTAGACAGGATTTAACTATCATTAAGGTTGTCAGTCTCCAGTCCTAAGTGTGTGTATGTGTGTGTCCCTGTATGACTTTCTGTCTTGAATTGCACCTTCTTCTTTAGTTGCATAAATAATCCTGCTCATTCACCAAAACTCTTCTTTTTATCTTTAAATGCTAATTAGGGAGACATGAAATTTAAAGCTTCAGGCAATATGTCCTTCATTTTAAATTACAATTAAAAAATCCATATTTTACAGCTTAAAAATTCAAAATGAGAATAAAAATGGTTCAGTCACTACAGAAAACAAGTGGACAGTTTTTAATCAAATTAAACACATGCTTAATCACACAACAGAGCAAGTTTACTACAAGGGACTTACCCAAGTGAATAACAATTTATAGTCGCTCAAAAACCTATACATGAATGTTTATAGTGGCTTTTTTCCGCTAACAACAATAATCAGAAACAACACAAACGTCCTTTAACTGGTGAATGGATAAAGAAACTATGATACATCCACAGAACTGGATGTTACTCAGCAAAAAATGGGAACAGACTATTAATAGATGGCAGAATTTGGATGAAACTAAAACATATTATGCTAAGTGAAAGGAGCTATACTCAAAGTATCTGATACCATTCATATGACATGTAGGGGAAAAATAAGGGAAACCGTAAACAGATCAGAGAGTTCCCAAGGGTTTGGGTGAGCATGGGATGATTATCAAAAGGCACCAGAGAATTTGGGGGGGTTGAGGCAACTTTTATATCTTGGTTTTGGTGGTGGTTGTATTCTATTATGGGCTTCCCTGATGGCTCAGCAGGTAAAGAAACCACCTGCACTGCAGAAGACTCAAGAGATGTGGGATTGATCCCTGTGTCAGGACGATCCCCTGGAGGAGGGCATGCCAACCCACTCGAGTATTCTTGGCTGGAGAATCCCATGGACAGAGGAGCCTGATGGGTTACAGTCCAAAGGGTCTTAAAGAGTTGGACAAGACTGAGAGACTAACACTTTCACTTTCCCTTTTTTCATATGCTATTATATACATTTGTCAAAAATTGCAGAACTGTATATGAAAAGAGGCAGATTTTATTGGGTGAAAATTTGTGCCTTAATAAAAATAACAAAAGTAGGAATTAACTGAATAAAGTTTTTAATATTCCGCTTGTACAGCCTTCTTAAGTACCAATAGAAAAAGTCCCCTGTCATCTTGATTTTTTTCTGTGAATTTAAAAATTTTAATTTATATCCTATCTGCTTTGAAAAGGGATTTAATGTTCAGTCAGTTCAGTTCAGTTGCTCAGTCATGTCTGACTCTTTGCCACCCCATGGACTGNTATATGTATATATATATGTATATATGCAGTCATATACAACATTTGTTTTCTCTTTCTGACTTACTTCACTCCATGTAACATACTCTAGGTTCATCCACCTCACTAGAACTGACTCAAATTAACTCCTTTTTTATGGCTAATATTCCATTATGTTAATATATATGTATCACACCTTCTTTATCCATTCATCTCTTGATGGACACGTAGGTTGCTTCCATGTCCTGGCTATTGTAAATAGTGCTACAATGAATATTGGGGTATATGTCTTTTAGAATTGTGATTTTCTCAGAGTATATCCCCAGTAGTGGGATTGCTGGATCACATGATAGGTTTTTTTTCCTAGTTTTTAAAAGAAATCTCCATACTATTATCCATAGTGGCTGTATCAATTTATATTCCCACCAACAGTGCAAGAGGGTTACACTTTGTCCACACCCTCTCTAGCATTTACTGTTTGTAGATTTTTTTGATGATTACCATTCTGACTGGTGTGAATTGATAACCTCATTGTAGTTTTGGTTCACATTTCTCTAATAATAAGTGATATTGAGCTTTTTTTTTTCATGTATTTATTAGCCATCTGTAAGTCTTCTTTGGAGAAATGTCTGTTTAGGTCATCTGCCCACTTTTTGATTGGGTTGTTTGTTTTTCTGATATTGAGCTGCCTGAACTGATTGTCTGTTTTGGAGATTAATCTTTTGTCAGGAAGCCAGGGGAGTGGAGACGGAAAGCAAGATGCTACAGATGCCCCCAAACCCACCTTAAATTTGTGGCAGAGGACTGATGACCATGAAAGTGACCTTTGCTTCCTGCTCAATTCAGTCAGTAATTTGGAAATGCACCATCAGTGCCTCCCTTAGGTAACATAGAAACCCAGGGCCTCCAAGCTCATTTAGTGAGAGAAGAGTGTGGGGATACAGGACCAGGAAACAGGCCCAAAGGGATTGATTCCCACCCTGTGTCCTGGACCAACATTTCCAGGGGAGGCCATTTCAGCTGGGAGGCTGAGTCCTTCTGAACACAGGGGTAGAAGAGAGTAAAGAAAGTGGGGTCATGGATGAGGAAACCACGCAGCCTCCCCCAGGAGAGGCCTTAGCTTGGTGTTGGCTCCAGAGACAGTGAGGTCAGTCATTGCAGTGTCTCCTTTGAGCAGCCATTCTAATTAATATCTACTTCCTCCAGATTCCCACTGCTTTCATTTTTCTCCCATTCCTCAGCAAGAGTAAATGAAAGTCTGAGCATTGGTACCCATCAACTCAGTCAGACAAATTCTCCAGAGCTAGATGGGCCTCCTACTTGGGGAATTGTGTGACAGAAGCAGCTTCTTACAATTCTCCACAGGCGTGAGAACAGGAAAGCTATCTTCTTGCTTCATAGAAACTATCCAAGGACTGTATTGATGTTCTTTCTGCATTTATTGCGTTTCCAGAGAAGACTTCCAGAAGAATTGAAGGAATAAGAGAAGCCTGACACCTACCTTGGTCAGATACCTCAGACTTCTAACTCTACTTAGCAAGAAACTAACTGAATATTGCTAGAAAGTGCCTATCTTCCTTCTCCATTTCTGCTGGAACTTCCTTGACTCTCAGACTATCTCCAGGATAGACTGTGTGGTCAGGAAGCTGGCTTCCCACAGTAAGTGTATTGTCTCACTTTCAGGAAAGTGTGCAGCTTCTAGGAATGCTGAGTTGAGAAATGGAGCCCAGTACAGACATATGAACTTCAGCTACTCTGACTTCCAAGTTCTATGGTGCTTTGGTCTGTACCCCAACCCAAACTCCTATATACTTGATTTTCTAAACATGAAGAGTAATCAGTGAATCTTACAGTCTGCAGTAAGATTCTAAGTTATATCTCCGACCAGGGTATCTGCTTCCTGGTGGAAGTGTCAGGGCCTGTTTTTAAACTCCATAGACTTTGCTGACCTTTGATAAAAATATTTGCACCTACATTACAATAAATGCCTCCAAAGGCACATTTAAGAGTAGATGAAAGGTCTGTGATATGCTATAAGTTTCATCATCAAAATTCTGTGGACCTTGTAGAGGTTGATGGAAATTAGTGAAATGTCAAAAATATAGGACACAATAAAGGAAAGTGATTTTTAGAAATATGCTTCACTGTGTTCAAAATTGGATTAATCTACCCAGTTCCCATGCTGAGCGACACTGATTTCTGTCATTCTCAGGTGCCTGTCTCTATTTTCTCCCTGAGATTGGGTACAACATTCCAAGAGCCATTTCCAGATCAAGAGCTCTTCTTCTCCTTCTGTGTGGCCATTCAATCCAATGTGGATACCCTGTCCCTGTCAAAGGGAGATTGGGGATCTGAGTTTAAGCAAACGTGAGAAGGTAGGATTAATAACACAAGTTATGTAGAGAAGTATATTGAGGTGCATTATTGAAATCATATTTCTGTGCCTGTTTCAGAAAATCAATCAAAACAGACTTATGCAGAACACTGACTCAGTATGTAAATTATTGATTAAACATTCTACTTAAAACATAGGTACCAGAAAAAATCAGGAGCATGTGTAGTAGAATATTTCTTTATTGTTGTGAAAGAGATGATTTGACTTTCTAGGGAGACATGTTCAGGTTTGATGTCCTGAATAATCCTCATGTAGTAATCTCTTAATGTTTAGCTCTTATAGTGATGTTTATTTTCCAATTAGATAGGTTCTTATACTAATGTTTGTTCTCCAATTAAATGTGTTCTTTGTTTATCAAGATATAATTAAAAGAGTCAGAAACTGAGAGATTAAGAGAAAATATCAGTTACCAGTGGGAAAGGCATCATCTCACTGGATTCATGCTGGCCATCCTATGGGAACTCTGATGGTATAAAACTATGAGACCATCATAACAAAAATTCACCAAGGATCCATTTGTTTCCAGGCAACTAAAGAAACAACACAGAATGGAGCACTGGAACTCCACCCTGGGAAGTGGCTTCGTATTGATGGGGATTCTGAATGACAGTGGGTCTCCTGGGCTGCTCTGTGCTACAATGACGGTCCTATACACACTGGCCCTCACCAGCAATGGCCTGCTGCTCCTGGTCATCACAATGGATGCCCGGCTCCAAGTGCCCATGTACCTCCTGCTCGGGCAGCTCTCTCTCATGGACCTCCTCTTCACGTCTGTTGTCACTCCCAAGGCCTTCATGGATTTTCTGCTCCGTGAAAACACCATCTCCTTTGGGGGCTGTGCCCTTCAGGTGTTTCTAGTACTGACCCTTGGTGGTGCAGAGGACCTCCTACTGGCCTTCATGGCCTATGACAGGTATGTGGCCATTTGTCATCCTCTGAACTACATGGTCCTCATGAGGCCGAGGGTCTGCTGGCTCATGGTGGCCACACCCTGGGTCCTGGCTTCCCTGAGTGCTTTAGGTCATACTTTGTATATCATGCACTTCTCCTTCTGCATGTCCCGGGAGATCGGCCACCTGCTCTGTGAGATCCCACCTTTGTTGAAGTTGGCCTGTGCAGATACTTCCAGATATGAACTCATGGTGTATATGATGGGTGTGACCTTTCTGATTCCCCCTTTTGTTGCTATACTTGTCTCCTATTCAGTAATCCTACTTACTGTGTTCCACATGCCCTCAAATCAAGGGAGACAGAAAGCTCTGGCCACCTGCTCTTCCCACCTGACTGTGGTCGGGATGTTCTATGGAGCTGCCACATTCATGTATGTTCTGCCCAGTTCCCTCCACAGCCCCAAGCAGGACAACATTATTTCTGTCTTCTACATGATTATCACCCCAGCCCTGAACCCCCTCATCTACAGCCTGAGGAATAAAGAGGTTATGGGGGCCTTGAGAAGGGTCCTACAAAAATACATGCTGTGGACACACTCCTGACACAGTTACAAAATAGACATGGTAGGGGACTAAGTTTCAATCAATATCATGTATCAATGATCAATAGCAGTAGATTTAGTCTGAGCAAACTCCAATAGCCTCTTAAAATCAGAGGAATACTTCACTTGTTTGAACAAGATTCTTAGACTGTTGCAGGAATAAGAATCCTCAGAAGATATACTGAACTTCTTGTCTGTTATGTAGCTGTTGTTCAAATAATTATTTGGAAAGAAGAATCAGTTTGTGTCTATGCATCTACTTCAGTTTCAAAGGACAGTTTTTGTTGAGATAATGGAAAAATCCAAATGGGAAAATTTAATAGTGACTTAATTAAAAATTAAAAGATATAAACCAATAAAACTGAATGTGGAATTCCTCAATTTGAAATTAGGGTTAGAGATACAGCCATAGATACATCTATTGTATATATTGCTTGAATTTTTTAAATATGTAGTTTATATAGATACAGAAAATTTTCAAAACATCAAAACAATTGTGAAGTGAGTATATGTATATCTCTGTGTCCACATGAAAGGAGGGATATACATATATATATATATAAATTCTCTGTCTATATATAAAATTTTCTAGCTACCTTAATTATGCCTTATTTCTGTCATTTGATTTATCAGTGTGGGACTGTTTTGGACAAATCTGGTAACTTCAGTCTATTCAGTTAAGAGGTGACAAAGTACTCCTGCTCACATCATTGGAATTATTTTTACGGATAGGGCTTTGTAAAGATTCAGAAATATTTTTTCTTACAGAACTATCTTAAATTACTTAATCTATTTAGATCAACCATAATGCAAAGGCAAAAGCTAATCGATGAAACTATAATCCAAATTCATTATAAAAACATAAAATTTAGAAAGAAGCAAAAATCACCTATAAAGTTTCAGTTCATTTCAGTCACTCAGTCATGTCCGACTCTTTGCAACCCCATGGACCACAGCACACCAGACCTCCCTGTCCATCACCAACTCCTGGAGTTTACTCAAACTCATGTCCATTAAGTCAGTGATGCCATCCAACCATCTCATCCTCTGTCGTCCCCTTCTCTTCCTGCCGTCAATCTTTCCCAGCATCATGGGTCTTTTCAAATGAGTCAGTTCATCAGGTGGCCAAGGTATTGGAGCTTCAACTTCAGCATCAGTCCTTCCAATGAATATTCAGGACTGATCTCCTTTAGGATGGACTGCTTGGATCCTCTTGCAATCCAAGGGACTCTCAAGTTTGGCATTCACTTTTTTGTGTTATTCATGCATGCAATTTACCAAATAGTTCTGTATATGTTGGTTAAGGTCTTGCTTTATTGTTGTTTAAAATTTGGTGAAGCTTCTTCCTTGTGAAGAGGGAACGCTACAGTATAGGGGTGGAGAGAAGAGGAGGAGGGAGGGAGGAGGTCAGAGTGCTGAGTGTCGTCTCTGCTGTCACTTTGTCATTTGTGAACATTAAATTGAACCATTTGTGTCTCAGTTTGCTCATCTGAAAAGTGATGATAATAATAGGATTTACGATAACTTCATGATGTTTTGTAGGGACTTGAATAGATAATTACGCACTTAGACCAGAGCCTGGCAAATAGTGCTTAATATATGCTGGCTGTTATATGAATAACTAGTAAATAGTCTTGATAAATGATCAATATAAATGACTATGTAGTATCATCATTTGAATCATATATAATGTATTTAGGGATTTGCTTACACTTAATTTTGTTCCCCCAAATTTTCTTACATGAATGTATGATTTTATGGTAGATCAAATTTCTAGAAGTGAAATTACTGGATATAGGGAAAAAAATTTTTAATTCTTGTTACAAAGAGCCAGAGCTGACTGCTTATGAGAAAGTTAGAAACTGTTTGCATACTGGCTAGCATTATGTGGGAGTGCCTGCCTCACTGTACTCTTTCTAGGGCTGTCTCATCATATGAACTCTCTTTGCTAATTTATTAAACATATCAATGAAAATGTAACAGATATTTTCATTTATATTACTTACTTGGTTTCATTTTCTTTATAGACAAAGGCCCCAACAATTTGACAGTTATTCATGTTCCAACATTTATTTTTAGTTTATTACCTAGATATGTAGTGGAATATGTTGGATAGAGAAGTGCTACAATATTTATGTTGTTTCACATATTCATATTTTCCTTTGTATTTTTAAGGCAATTATGCCATTACAATTCCCATTTTTTGTTCAGAGAAATTTACATATTTCTCTTAGATCTGTTTAATAATCTCACAAGTGACTTTAGCTTTAATTTCTCTGTAATTAATTTTTGTGGTACATGATGGATGGTGAAACTTTAAGTTAATATGTTTCTAAATAGCTGATTTTACTTTTAGCTTCCTTAATAACTCTCTCCTATCGTGGATTTTCTCATTATTATTTACAATCCCCTGACTATAAACTGTCTTCTTAGAAGTAGAGTAGTAGGGACTATTGCTGGGTATGTTCTCTAGTGTCTGTGTTTTGTAAGGGGTATCCTTTCCCATATTTCCTCATATTTCTTAAAGTTTTATCATCTTTTTATTCCTCCTGATAAACTTTTGAGTTATCTGTTAAATGTCTAAAAAATCCTATTAGTATATTAATTGCAATCATATGTAACTCATACACTGATTTGGAAATAATGTCTTTTTGCAATATTCAGTCTTAAATTCCAGGGACATAGTATGCTATTGCCCTACCCTAATAAATCTGTTATTCTTTTAAAAAATGCCCTTGACTCTTAGCTTATGACTTTGCATCACTGAGAAAAGAGAAGGTGTCATATAGGACTCCCTCATCTTCCAATACCACATTTACCAGCCCGTCTGCACTTAGTGTTTTTTCTTTCAAAAGAGTCCATCATATTCTCTAGGTCCATCAACATTGCTATATAAGTGGCAGAATTGCTTTTTTTATGACTCATATTCCATTGTCAAATAAAAAAGAGGCCATCAGAGGCCAGATCCTTCGTTAGTACTCTCACTTCTCAAAGATATTGGTCTTGGAATTTCTTGCTTCCCTCTGTATCATCTCCCTCCTTACAAGAACATTTACTACAGGTTAAACACATGCTCCAGTATCTCCCATCTTAAAGAAGCTCCCCCTTTCATTTCTCAGAACATTTCTCAGAGCAAATAGTCTTGAAAGACTTAATTGTACCTATAGCTTCTGATCTTTTTCTACCATTCATGATTCATGCCACCATAATCAGACTGCCCTCACTCAATCCCTCAGCCCTAGAGTAGTGCTTGGCAAACAGTGACAGAGGTGTATGACTCATCTGTCTGGCAAAGAAATGACTGTTTATATATTTTATAAAATGTGGATTTTAATACCATTACTAATGATTACCAATGAGCCTAGAGATTAACAGCTACATTCCATAGAAGAGACAATAAATCTTTATAATCTACATATCTCAGAAAGAGTTTAAATAATTTTAAGAATATTTCCAGAATTGCTAAATAGTCAGGATTTAACTCATTAATTTTCAGTTTCCAACTCTGTGTGTGTGTATGTGTGTGTGTCCCCAAATGACTTTCTGTCTTGAATTGCACATCCTTGTTTACTTGCTTAAATGACCCCACTCATTACCCCAAACTCTTCTTTTTTCTTTAAATGCTAATACCAGGATGATTGCTTTTCAATGTTGTGTTGATTTCTGCCACACATCAGCATGAGTCACCATAGATTTACATACGTCCCTTCCCTCTTGCCACCTGCCTCCCCACCCCACCCCTCTAGGTTGCCACAGAACACTGGACTGAGCTCCCCGTGACATAGAGCAAATTCCCACCGGCTGTCTGTTTTACCTGTGGTAACATGTTTCAGTACTACTCTCTCAGTTCGTCCTACCTTCTGCTTCCCCCGCTGTGCCCTGTGTCTGCATCTCTGTTCAGTTCGGTTCAGTTCAGTCAGTGTTCGACTCTTTGCGACCCCATGAATCCCAGCACACCAGGCCTCCCTGTCCATCACAAACTCCCGGAGTTTACTCAAACTCATGTCCATCGAGTCGGTGATGCCATCCAACCATCTCATCCTCTATCGTCCCCTTCTCCTCCTGCCCCCAATCCCTCCCAGCATCAGGGTCTTTTCCAATGAGTCAACTCTTCGCATGAGGTGGCCAAAGTACTGCTCTCCAAGTATTAATAGGTTCATCAGTACCATTTTTCCAGACACCATATATATGTGTTCAAATACAACATTTGTTTTTCTCTTTCTGACTTACTTCACTCTGTGTAGCAGGCTCTAGGTGCATCCGTCTCACTAGAATTAACTCAAATTCCTGTGTATGGCTAATATTTCATTGTATTAGTATATATGTACTACACCTTCTTTATCCATTCATCTGTCGATGGACACGTAGGTTGCTTCCATGTCCTGGCACTTGTGAATAGTATTGCAATGAACAAAAATTTTGAACACTTCATGAATCTTTTGTCATCCTTGCACAGGGGCCACACTAATCTTTTCTGTATCATTCCAATTTCAGTATATGTGCTGCCAAAGTAAGCACTTTTCTTCACTTTTAATCAGAATTTAAAGACTCTATATTTTATCACTTAACAGAATGAAAATGAGAATAAAATTGGGAATGAAAATGGATTAGTCACAGTGGAAAACAGTTCCTGATCAACTTAATACACTTATCATAACTGAGCAAGCTCACTACTAGGTACTTACCCAAGTGAATAGCAATTTATGTTTACTCAAAAACCCATATGTGAATATTTAGAATGACTTTTTCCACAAACAACAGAAACTGGAAACAACACAAATGTCCTTTAACTGGTGAATGGATAAACAAATTATGATACACCCACACAACTGAACACTGCTCAGCAAAAAATGGTAACAGACTATTAATAGCAGAATTTGGATGAATCTCAAACATATTATGTTAAGTGAAAGGATCTAGATTCAAAATATCTGAAACCATTCATATAACATGCAGAAAAACATGAAAATAGGAGCAACAGTAAACAGATCAGAGAGTTGGCAAGAGCTTGGGTGGGGGTGGGATATGAATACCAAAAGGTAACAGAGAATTTGGGGAGTCAATACAACTTCTTTATTTTGATTTTGGTGGTGCTTATATGCTATATATATTTGTCAAAACCTGCAAAATATGTACTAAAAATGGTGAACTTTCCTTATGAAAATTGTACCTTCATAAAAATGAAAAAATGTGGGAAATAATAATTGGAGATAAATATATATGAAGCTTTTAATATTCTACTTCAACAATCTTCTTTAAGTACCAATAGAAAAACTCCCCTGCCATCTTGATTTTTGTCAAGAATTTCAATTGTACTGTTTTGAAATACAAATATGTTTATTATTGGTCAGTTAAAATTAGCAACACATTTATTGAGTCAATTTCCGTGTTCACTATTGCTTCTTGTATTATAAACATCCCTAGGCATCACATTTTTCCTTGCTGAAATTATTTTATTGGGGCATCTTTGGTGGTAAAGTCTTGTGCTTCTGTTTGTAATTTGTTTTCACTCTCTAGTGATAATTTATCTATGCATAGAGAGAACTTTAAGTGGGCAGATATGTTCCCTCATTGCTTTTGAAGATGTTTCTTTCTTGTCTGATTACTGTCGGTGAAAACTCCGCTATCTTCTGTCTGTATCTGTCTTTGTCAGTGGGAAATCTGTCATTTTTCTCTGAGAGCATTTAAAAGATTTTCATTAACACTAACATTCTCCAACTTCAGTACTGTCTCTATTTCTTTTTATTGTTCCTGCGCAATATTCACAGATTTGCATAATAACATACAATAACAGACAATAATAACATCAAAGACACATACTTATGTAGAGGATACAACAGATTGCCAGAGGTGGCTCAGACAGTAGAGAATGCACATGCAATGCAGGAGACCTGGGTTTGAATCCTGGGCTGGGAAGATACCCTGGAGAAGGGGACAGTTACCTTCTCCAATATTCTGGCCTGGAGAATTCTGGCTTGGATTGTAATTCCCCCAGGCCTGGGTCACAAAGAGTCGGACAAAACTGAGCGACTTTCACACAAAGGTCAATGAAGGGAAGACCTAGTTATTACAGACTTCACAGAACACAGCCATATTGAATTAAATAGTCCAGTCTAAGAGGATGATAAGAGAGGCCAGGGTTATGGAGGTGAGAAGCAACATTCCACAGATGCCCTAAAACCCACCTTAACTCTGGGGTAGAGGGCTGGCTAGCCATGAAAGGAACCTTAGCTTCCTGCTCAGTTCTGTCAGTAATTTGGAAATGGGCCATCAGTGCCTCCCTTAGGTGACATAGAAACCCAGGGCCTCCAAGCTCATTTAGTGAGAGAAGAGTGCAGGGATACAGCACCAGGAAACAGGCCCAACGGAATTCATTACCATCCTGTTGCTATGACCAGCATTTCTAGGGGAGACCATCTCAGCTGAGAGGTTAGGCTATGCCCCTCTAAACACAGGGGTAGAATAGAGGGGGTGGGGTTATGGGATGAGGAAACTTGGCAGCTTCCCCCAGGACAGGCCCTGGCTTGGTATTGGCCCCAGGGACAGTGAGATCAGTCATTGCTGGGTCTCCTTTGAGCAGCCTTTCTAATATCTACTTCCTCCAGCTTCCCACTGCTTTCATTTCCCCCCCACCGACCTCAGCAAGAGTAGCATCAGTACCCATGAACTTTGTCTGACAAATGCACCATGGCTAGATGAGCCACTTATTTGAGGAGCTGTGTGACAGAAGCAGTTTCTCCTAATTCTCTACAGGTTTGAGAAGAGGTAAGCCATATTCTTGTTCTATAGAAGCTTCCAAGGCCCAAGGAGTCAGTTAGCTCTCTGTCTGTAAGTGCCACATTTCCAGAGCACATCTGCGGAGGAACTGAAGGAATAGGAGTCCTATACTTCTCTTGGTCAGACTCCTCAGACTTCTAATCCAACTTAGCAAAAATTTTACTAATTGAATACTGCTGGAAAGGTCTTATCTTCCTTCTCTTCATAGAAAATTTATTTTACTTTATTTTATTTATTCAACTCTTTTGACTGCACTGTACTGCATGTGGGATCTTGGTTCCCAGACCAGGGCTTGAACCCTTGCTCCTTGCAGTAGAAGCGCAGAATCTTAATCACTGGACCACCAGGGAAGTCCCCTTCCTTCTTCTTTTCTACTGGATCTTCCTTGACCCTCAAACAATCCCCTGGGTAGTCAGCGTGGTTAGGCAGCTGGGTTTCTCAACCACCTGAGGTAAGAATATTGTCTCACTTTCAGGGATGTGTGCAGCCTCTTAAAAGATGAAACCCAGTGCAGACCTAAGAACCTCAGCTACTCTGTCTTCCAGGATCTCTGGTGCTTGGGCTCTATACCTCATCCCAACTCCCTCTATTCTTGGCTTTCTAAAAATGAAGAGGAATCAGTGAGGACTGATGGAAGATTCTATGCAACATCCCAGGGCAGGGTATCTACTTCCTGGTGAAAACATCAGGACCTGTCTTCAGACCCCATGTACTTTTTCTGGCTTCTGATAAACGTATTTACATTTAGATTATAATAAATGCCTCCAAAGGAACTTTAAAAAGCACCTGATAGGTCTATCACATGCTCTAACACCTTTTTACCATTAAAATCCTGTAAACCCCATAGGGACTAATAGAAACCAGTAAATGTCGAATCTGTGACATGGTAGAGGGAAATGACTTAGAGAAATATGTTTCACTTACAGATTCCTATGTTCAGAGTTGGGTTTATCTGCCCAGTTCCCAAGATGCATGAGGCTGATTTCTGTCAACCTCAGATCCCTCTTTGGTTTTCTCCCTGAGATTGGGTACCACACCCCAAGAGCAGCTTCCAGAACAGGAACTCATCTTCCTCCTCTTTGTGGCTCCTCAGTCTTGTGTGGATACCCTGGCTTTGCGGGAGGGAGAAGGGGCTCTGGATACGGTGCAAGAAGCTAGGATTATTGAGCCTGATTACAACATACAACACAAACTCTTTTGCTTCTGACATCTTTTACCACTTCTGCCCAAAACAAACAATCTGAATTTCCTGAGTAGGTCCTTATTTTTTTTTTTTTTATCATATTTCTAAGTAATCTCAGGCTGACATTTTATCATAACCTGCTTTAAAAAAAAAACTCCTTTTTTTTTTTTGCATTAATCCTAAAGGTTTAGCTTTAATAGTGACAGTATCTCAAACTCACCAATCTCTAGTCTCAGACAGTCTATCATCCCTTCCCTCTTAGGCTCATAGAGTGAAAGCCTGGTCCAGTGAACTAAGTGGGCCATACTTTGTCTCTTCTCATGAGGCTGTGACTACAGTTTCGAATGCTGTAAGCAAAGTGAGCATAAGTTATTTGGGGAAGTATATTGAGATACTTTATTGAAATCACATTTCTGTACCTGTTTTAGTATTACATTTTCAAAATAGGCCTATGCAGGACACTGACTGGGTATGTAAATCATTTGATTAAGCATTATACTTAAAACCTAAGTACCAGAAAAATCAGAAGCATGGATGTCAGAATATTGCTTTATTGTTAGAAGAGAGGTGATTTGATCTTTCTGGGGAGATACATATTTAGGTTTTAGATGCTGAATAATATTCTCATGTAGTGACCTCTTACTGTTTAGCTATTACTGTGATGCTTATTCTCCAACTAGATGGGTTCTTTTTATCAAGATATAAAGAGTCAGAAATTGAGAGGTCAAGAGGAAAAATCAGTTACCATTGGACTGGCCATCCTACAGGGCCTCTGATGTTACAAAACTATGGAGCCATCTTAACAAAAATTCACCAAGGATCCATTTGTTTCCAGGCAACTAATGAAACAACACAGGATGGAGCACTGGAACTCCACCCTGGGACATGGCTTCATATTGATGGGGATTCTGAATGACAGTGGGTCTCCTGGGCTGCTCTGTGCTACAATGACAGTCTTGTACATGCTGGCCCTCACCAGCAATGGCCTGCTGCTCCTGGTCATCACCGTGGATGTCTGGCTCCACATGCCCATGTACCTCCTGCTCAGGCAGCTCTCTCTCATGGACCTCCTTTTCACGTCTGTTGTCACTCCCAAAGCCATCATAGATTTTCTGCTCAGTGAAAACACCATCTCCTTTGGGGGCTGTGCCTTTCAGATATTTCTGGCACTGACAGTGGGTGGTGCAGAGGACCTCCTACTGGCTTTCATGGCCTATGACAGGTATGTGGCCATTTGTTATCCTCTGAACTACATGGTCCTCATGAGACCAAGGGTCTGCTGGCTCATGATGGTCACACCCTGGGTCCTGGCTTCCTTGAATGCATTATGTCATACTCTGTATACTATGCACTTCCCTTTCTGCATGTCCCGGAATATCAACCACCTACTCTGTGAAATTCCACCTCTATTGAAGTTGGCCTGTGAAGATGCCTCTAGATATGAACTCATGTTGTATGTGACTGGTGTGACCTTCCTGATTCCTCCTCTTGTTGCTATTCTTGCCTCCTACACACTAATCCTACTTACTGTGCTCCACATGCCCTCAAATGAAGGGAGGCAGAAAGCCCTGGTCACCTGCTCTTCCCACTTGACTGTGGTTGGGATGTTCTATGGAGCTGCCACTTTCATGTATGTTCTGCCCAGTTCCCTCCACAGCCCCAAGCAGGACAACATCATCTCTGTTTTCTACACGATTGTCACCCCAGCCCTGAACCCCCTCATCTATAGCCTGAGGAATAAAGAGGTTATGGGGGCCTTGAGGAGGGTCCTACGAAAATATATGCTGTGAACACACTTCACCATCTTGGGAGAGCTTATAGCTTGACACCAAAATTCATTCCTCCTCAAAGTCAGAAGTTTTCTGCTAAAAGTGAAATATTTATGGCAAAAGCACCATAGTGGAGAGTATATCTTTTAATAGAAAAATGAAGAATGTAGCTTTACTTGTCAAATGCTATTTTAAATTGTCTTTCTGTGAAGTAATTTATGAGATATGTATGAGACTGTATTTATTTAATTATTCACTTATTTGTTTTTATTGAATTATAGTTGGTTTACAATGTTGTATTCATTTTCTCTATATAGCAAAATGACTCAGTTATATACATATATATATTCATTTTTATATTCTTTTCCATTATGGCTTATCTAAGGATATTAAATATAACTTCCTCTGCTATACAGTGAGACCTTGTTGTTTACTCATTCCGTGTGTAATGGTTTGATTTGCTAACCCCAAACTCCTAGTCTATCCCTCCTCCTCCTTTCCTCTTCCTTGGCAACCAGAAGTCTGTTCTCTGTGTCTGTGAGTCTGTTTCTATTTTGTAAGTAGGTTCCTTTGTGTTATAGTTTAGATTCCACATATATGGGATATCCTATGGTATTATTCTTTTTCTGACCTACTTCACTTGGTATTATAATCTCTATTTCCGTCCGTGTTCCTGTTATGTGCTTGGGCTTGGCTGCTCAGTCATATCCAACTCTTTGCGACCCTTTGGACTGTGGCCCACCAGGCTCCTCCGTCCATGGTATCTTTCAGGCAAGAACACTGGAGTGGGTTGCCACCTGCCTTCTCCAGGGGATCTTCCTGACCCAGGGATTGAACTCATGTCTCCAAAAGTGAAAGTGTTAGTCACTCAGTCATGTTCAATTCTTTGTGACCCCATAAACTGTGTAGTTCGACCAGGCTCCTCTGTCCATAGAATCCTCCAGGCAAGAATAATGGAGTGGGTAGCCATTCCCTACTCCAGGGGGTCTTCCTGACCCAGGGATCAAACCCAGTCCTCTGCATTGCAGACAGATTCTTTACCATCTGAGCCATCAGTGAAGCCCCCATCTTCCTATAACCACCCTTTTAAGAAGGTTAGTGGGTCTAAAATTTGTACAAAACTCAAGGTCCTTGTCCCTGCTGTATGGTCTTTGCTTAGGTTTCCAGTTGAAATTTTCTTTTTTGGGACCTTATATTGGTTCAGTATGGACTCCTGCAAGTCAGAGGTCCTGTCCCAAGTTTTCAAAAACTCTTCTTCCCATTTAACACTAGTTAATTGGGAAAACAAAGAGTAAATTTTAAATACAATATGATCAAATAACAAATTCTGGAGAGGGTGTAGAGAAAAGAGAACCCTCCTACACTTTTGGGGGGAATGTAGTTAGTGTAGCCACTATACAAAACAGTATAGTGGTTCTTAAAAAAAAAAATTGAGTTACCATATGCTCCAACAATTCCACTCCTGGGCACCTATCTGGACAAAACTGCGTCAAAAAGATACATGCACTCTTATGTTCATATCAGCACTACTCACAATAGCCAAGACAAGGAAGTAACCTAAATGCTCATTAACAGATGAACAGATGAAGGTATGGTGCATATATACGGTGGAATACTACTCAGACATAAAAAGAATGAATTAATTCATTAGTTGTTAATTAAGTCCATGGGGTCACAAAGAGTCAGACATGAATGAGTAACTAAGCACAGCACATGATATTTATAATTAATTATTAATATTAAACCAAGTATATAATCAATAAAATACTAGTTGCATTCAATATAATTAATTATAGTTTATATCATAATTAAATATTGTAATTATACTTCATTATTAATTCATTCTTTTTTATGACTGTGTAGTAGTCCATTATATACCTATACCACATCTTCACCCATTCATCTGTTAATGGGCATTTGGTTTATTTCCACATCTTGGCTATTGTGAATAGTGCTGGTATGACCAAAGGGGTGCATGTATCTTTTTGACTTGTAGTTTTGTCCAGATAGATGCCCAAGAGTGGGCTTGCTGAATCATATGGTAATTCAATTTTTCTCTTTTGGGGGAATCTCTATACTGTTTTCTATAGTGGCTGCACTTACATTCCCCCCAACAGTGTAGGAGGGTTCTCTTTTCTCCACACCCTTTCCAGCATTTGTTATTTGATCACATTGTATTTAAAATTTACTCTTTGTTTTCCCAATTAACTACAGTGTTGAATGGGGAGGGAGGTTTTGCAAACTTCAGACATGACTTCTGACTTGGAGGAATCCATATTGAACCAATATAAGGTCCCAAAAAAGAAAATTTCAACTGGGAAGTCTAAGCAAGGACCATACAGCTGATGAGATGTAATTATTAGGGGCAAGGACTTGAGTTTTGTACAAATTTTAGACCAGCTGACCTTCTTAAAAGGGTTTTCCAGGTGGCTTAGTGGTAAAGAATTCGCCTGCCAATGCAGGAGATGCAGGAGACACAGGTTCAGTCCCTGGGTCAGGAAGATCCCTTGGAGGAGGAAACGGCAACCTGCTCCAGTATTCTTGCTTGGAAAATTCCATGAACAAAGGAGCCTGCTGGGCTATGGTCTGGTGGGTCACAAAGAGTTGAATGCGACTGAGCAAGCACACATGACCTTCTTAAAAGATCACGTTAGCAGCCTAGTTTAATGCCCACACTAGTAGTGGTTTGCATGTATTTGCATCATGTTCACTCCTCCTTTTTCCAAACTTCAGCCGTCATGGAAACTCCCCTGTCTGGACCCTCCAACAGGTGTTTTTTATTTGTTTATTTTTGCTTGGTTTTTTTTTTTTTTTTGACATGAAGACTTTTTAATGCTGCCTAAAATTCCAAAAATACTAGAATGAGTAAAAGAGAAAAACAAGGCACCAGCAAAGACTGCAAGTAAATAGCTATGTTTATTATTTCACGATAAATGAGCACACAAACAAGACTGGTTTTCCATTATCTCAAGGCTATATTGAAATATCCTTACACTTGCAAAAGGTATGTTTGACATGTGTAGTTGTGTGAGTCTACAGATATGTATTTGTGCTGAAAAGGAGGACTCACATGCACATACAAACACATACTTATTCTCTAGTAGCTTAAATATGCTGTGCTGCTACCATTTATAGTACAACAAATAATAGACACTGTCTTCTCTTTTTGCTTATTGACTCCAGTAAATCCTGCTGGTTTCATCTATACAATGCATTCCAAATGTGGGCACTTGTTGCAGTCTCTCCCCAAAGCATCTTAGTCCAGTTACCATAATCAGTTGCCTATAGTTCCACAGTAGCTATTTCTTATTTCCATTCTTGTCCCTCTATAATCTGCTTTCTCCCTTTCTCCCTCCTTAAACTATTTATGATGGTTTAAGGTTGATCATCATAAACATGTCAGAGCATTTCACTTTTCAAGAAGGATACACATGATCTTGCTGTGTCTACCCAGTCTACAGAGAAACTGTGCTCTCTTACATTCACTCTAACTCCTTTGACCTTCTTATTGTCCATTACACGGTTCCATTACACGGTTCAAAATTATTTCTGCTTTAGAGCCAGTTAGTAGCTATTCTCCTAGCCTGTGATGTTTTTCTGTCAAATCTGCTTGTCTTGCTATTTCTTGTCATTCACATCTCATCTTAAAAATCTTAACTCCTCAAAAATGTTACTAATTGAAGTGTAATGCACCCAAACCAAAAGGCATTATCACACACTGCGTTTTAATTTTTTTCATTGTATTTATCATTATGTAAAACTTTCTTACACCTTGGTTTACCTGCTCGCTCTCTGTTTCCACTTTCCAAAATGAAAATTCCATGAGAGCATGAACTCTGCTATGTGTGTGTCATAGCTTCTTCTCCATAAAAATTGAGGTATGAATATAGAATAGTCTCTATAATAGCAATGTATATGCATGTAAGTGCATGTATATATCTTCGCTGATGAAATAGAGGAATATGCTATGTTTGTACATACAAAGATTACTATTTTACTTAAATACAATATATTAGTTTTTTGCTAAATAACCTATAAATTCAAAGTTATAACTATCAAAACTTTAATGGCATTTTTAAAAGTGAATTTGGATAAGCTAAGAAGTAGAAAATTGTAGAATAGATGATATATAAGAGATATGTCCTACCAACTAAAACTACAGTAATTGAAATATAACAAAGTGTAGTAGTTGATAAATATGCAATATTCATATTGAAATTTAGTATATTTTATGGTGTATTTGATATTAATAGGAAAAGATGAGTAACCATGATACTAGAAAAAAATGGCTAAATATTTAGGAAAATAGTACCATATTAATTCATAATACATGAATATATATATATTCTTCTAAAATAAATTCTAGACTTTTTAAAGATCTAATGGTTAAAACACAGTCTAATGTCAGGCTGTCCACCTCAGGTTCATGTCCCTCTTCTTTCTGTGCATATACGGGACCATGTGGTTGAACTTCAACCAATGGAATATGATGTGTGCTCCTTCTAAGGCACAAAACCTACCAATGAAAAACCTTTTAATCTTCATTTTTCTGGATATTGACATGAAGATAACCATGAAATCTGCAAATAGCAGAACTTCTGTCAACCTAGGTCTATACATCTTCCACCTCATCCCTCAACTAGAATTTATATAAGTTAAAAATAAGCTTCTGCTTGTTAAATCACTGAGATTTGAGATTTATCTGTTAGAACAGGGATTGATAAACACACCTGGAGAAGTTTATGGGAACACATTCATCTTTGTATTGTCTATGACTTGTTGTCCCCCGGCAATAGTAGTTGTGATGGGACAGTGTGGCCTGCAAAGCCTAAATATATTTAGTTTCTACCCCTTTACAGAAAAAGTTTGCTGACTACTATGCTAAAGCAAGTAGTATTATTTTACATAAAGGAAAACTGTAAGCAGATTAGGTAGGGGATCACTGTATAAAGAGAACCAGGCATGGCTTTCTTGACATAGGAAGAAGCCATTTTTCACCTAAACAATTTTGTGCTCTAAGTCAGGCCATATTGCTGGCCCTTGAGCAGGTCTCAGTAATTAATGATCTTAAGGGAGCAAAAGAATACAGAAAAGGCAAGAAAAACAAGAAATCCTTCCTTCTCTTGACTTTGCCTTAGCTGTGTCTTTTGACTTGATACCCACCAAAAGGTGAATACAATTTGGGGTATCAAAACTAGAACTAG